GGGTTGCGATCCGTTGCCGGACACGGAAAAAGACAAAAGACAAAAAAAAAAAAAAACAAACAAATAAACAAAAGACAGGACTTATAGTTCATCTCCTTTTAACATTTAACAAACACCTTTCTAGTTATGAGTTTTGAATATTGTATTATAGAAATATATCCTTAGAGTTAAAAAAGACGTAAGAGGATATTGAAAAATTTTGGTAATTGTCCACAATAGAAAAAAAGCGCATACACTTTCAGATGCAGACTTCCCAGTGCAGAAGTACAAGATAACCATGAACACTAAAGGCCAACAGAATTCACAAACTAGATAATAAGACTTAAAAGATTTGGCTTTGATTGGGGTTTTTTTTTGTTTGTTTTTTGTTTTTTGGCTTAATCAGTACCTAGCAAGCAGGAGGGCGGGGCAGGCAGCAGGAACAGGGCTACAGCACACTCCTGGGCACTGGCTGGGATGGCCCAGCTGCTGCCTCTGGCATGAGACAAACACCCGGCCACTGGTGAGAAGAGTTCCTTTCTGATCCTCCAGCATGAGTAGAGAGGCCCAAAACCAAGTCATTTCTCCCGTGGAGAAAATGGCCTTCCTTATTAAAGGGATTATTTAGTTGATAACTTGATAGGTAGAGATTGAAGAAAGTGAAATAGAAACTTCTCACTGTGTCTAAGACTATTTCTAAATTTATAAAACAAATATAAGAATGATCTGTAGAGGCAAGAGATAGAAACAGTCCATAGAAGTGGCCTCTTGGATCCTTACATTTATCTCTGTTTATCCAAAGAGCTTCAGCGCTGGCGTAAGTAATGTTGACCTGGACATCATTTAAGCAAGCTTTGGAATTGCGAGGGCAGGATGGTGGAGACAACTGAAATACATATTTAATAATTTAAAGTTGTATCTGGGACAGGGAGTGAATTGAATAAACTTTCTGGAATCTAAAACATAGCAAGTAAATTTTTTATTAATGTGGACAGATCTGGTTCTGTCTAGATGTTTCTTTGGCTTGCTCTCAAAAGTGACAGTTATTGAAAAAAGTTTTGTTTAATCATATAGTTATTCTGGGAGCTGTGAAGATGACAAAGTTCATCATTAAAATTGAAAAGCTATTTCTTCAATTCTCAAATTCAGTAAAAACCAGTATCTCAATTTTAAATTTTTCTCCCTAAAATTGTTCTCTAAACCTTGGTGTTTTACCATTCATCTAAATGAGATACTGGACTACATATACATTGATACAGGATTACATCTGAATAGGCAGAAAATGGGTATATATCAGGCCCTTCCTCTTTGGGAACGCTTAGGCTCTTTGAGGCCTGGACCAGATCTTAACGGGTATGAGAAACACCAGTGCAAAGTGTGGGGATCTGAGCTTCAGGTGAGCCTATGAAAAACCCTTACAGATATTCCTTACCCAGGGCCTGGCTGGTCTGCTCAGTTGGTTAGATCATAGCCTTGTAACACCAAGGTCATGGGTTTGGATCCCCATACTGGCCAGCCGCCAAAAAACACAGTATTCCTTACACATATATTTTTTTTAATCTTTTTTATTTTTTTTGCAGCTGGCTGGCATGGGAAACCAAACCCTCAACCTTGGTGTTATAACACCACTCTCTAACCAACTGAGCTAAATGGCTAGCCCCTTACACATATTTTTTAAGCTGATTAAAATAAAATAGCATGCTAAATAGAAGTCAGATCCCCTTTTATACATCATAAGTGAGTATAATAGTGAGCACATAGTTTCTGTTTATCATCTCTTTCTGGAAGCTTTGCAAAATCCCGTCCCTGTCCCCTGTCCCGAATTTCCATGAATTACTGAGAGATTTCTCTCAATTTGTTAGTGCTGATTTTGGCTGGTGAGTTTTCTATATTTATCCCCCCTCCCCCCAACCAAAATAGTCAATGTCTAATTTTTTGACTTTTGCTTTGGCCCCTGGATAGTAACTTGGATACTGATAGGTAGAAAAAACTTTGAGGAAATTTAATCTAGGCAGCATAGGTGGATAACAGCAGTTTTTCCAACCGTCTTTCTAACACAGCATGTTGGTATATGTATATGACATACACACACACCCTTCTTAGTTTTGCTTGTGATATCCTCATGCCAGAATACATGAAGTCAGCCCCTCTTAGGTCCTAGCCCCCTCGGAACTGCATAAAAGCAGGTGTGCTATTCTAAAGCCAGCATGTATTTACCTGCACATTGTTTCCTGTGTCTTCTAAAAACCTGAATTCTGGATATACTGCTTTATTTTTCCTATCCTATTCCCAGTCCCCTGCTCCTAATTATCCCTAGTGGGAGCAATTTAATTCTGCAACAAATTCTCATGGTTAAGGAAAAGGATTCAGAAATACACCCCTGTTGGTAGAGTGTGGTGCTGACAACACCAAGTCAAGGGTTCAGATCCCCTTACCAGTCATCTTTTAAAAAGAAAAAAAGAAATACATCCCTGAACAAAAAATCATGGTTGAGGGAAAGAGTACTACATTTAGTTATTTTAGTTTAATATTACTAAGAACTTCATTGGAATCCCCAAAATAGTCTCTTTCCTTCTCTACAAATGCCCTGTAAGAGAGACACATGGAGATTCCTTCCACACTTCCTTGTCTGTCCTTCCATGAGGTCAGAAATTCATGGTGAGAAGGTAGATGAGAGAGACTCCAGTCCCCTCGAGCAAGGGTCAGAAGACTGCTACTGCCCATGGGCCAACTCCAGCCTGCTGCCTGTTTTTGTAAACATGAGGGTACTTCAACAAGCTTATGGAAGAGTTTGTATTATTTTTTAATTCCATTTTTCCACAAACTTTGTGAAGCATCCTCATAAAGTCTTGTTGGAATGCAGCCCCACTCATTGGGTTGGATACTCTATTAGTCCATTTCTGTTGCTTAAACAGAATACCTGAAACTAGATAATTTATAAGAAAACAAAATATATTTCTTGCAGTTCAGAGGCTGGGGAATCCAAAGTCCTGGGAACACATCTGGTGAGGGCCTCTTTCTTGGTGGTGACTCCACAGCAACGCAGTGTGTCATATGACAGATGGCTGAGCAAAAGAGCTGACCTGCTCACTTGCTGTCCTTTTAAAGCCATTAGAACCATGCCCATGACCACCCGTTAAACCATCAGTGGATCAATCCATTCACAAGGGTACAGTCCTCACAATCTAATCACCTCTTAAAGTCCCCATGTTTCAATTACCATAATAGGATTTCCTACCGTCTTAATACTGTTACAGTGGGAATTAAGTTTTCAATATCGGAACCTTTTGGGGACACATTTAAACCACTGCAGGTGCTATCTGTGGCTGTTTCACACTACAACAGCAAAGCTAAGTAGTTGCAACAGAAACCATATGCCCCCAAAAGATGAAAATACTATCTGACTCTTTACAGAAAGTGTGCGGACCCCTGCCCTAGAGGAATACGACACCTCCGTGTATTAGAGTGACGAAAGAGACTGGGGGATCACTGCTCTAAAACGTTTTGTGTTAGGAAACACAAGTAGGAGACTATCTCAACTTGTCTCTAATACCTTAGTGCCCTGTGTTGCCCCTGAACTACCCATAAACCATAAGTACAGTAGTAGCACAAAGAGGTCGCTCCTTGCCCTCCAAGATTTTTATCAAGAATGTTTATATCACTACTATAAATAAATTAGTATCACTTGTCATGATCAGAATGCTAAAACATAATCTAAAAGTTTCTTAATTAATCACAATAAATATTTAACATCCCTGAAAATAAGTTCATTAATCAGAATAGAACTATTGAATGATCCATCAGTCTTAAAGGGATATTTGCCTCATATTGTCAAGTTTAAGACAAAGGTGAGATCCTATATTAATAAGAGGGTTGTTTTTTTTTTAACATTCTAACTCACATGTAGTAGGAAGGAAAAAAAATCTTGACTGACTTCTCTGAATTAGTTACTGAGAATTGATTCTTAAATGATATGGGTGACGTTTAAGAAGCTGTTAGAAAATAGCTCCACATTCTGGAGTTATTTGTAATTGTCCACAAAGAAACAGAGGGAAAAACTTTCTTATCTATTCTTTGCTGCCATCTGCATTGAGAAAATAATTAAAGACCTTTTATCAAGCCTTTAAGAATCTCTTCGTAATGTTCAAAATAGTTGAAGAGTGCTGGCCAGTTAGCTCAGTTGGTTAGATCACGGTGTTGTAACCTCAAGGTCAAGGGTTCAGATCCCTTTACCAGGCGGCCACCAAAAAAGAAGATTAAAAAAAAGAGAGAGTTGAGATAAGATGATAACTGACTGATTCTTTTCCAAGATTTAGATCTAAACATACTCAGCATGATCAGGGAATATACCTCATAGTTCCAGTTTACAATACTGATGTAAACTTGCCTCATGCAAATATTGCTACAAGATAAGTTCATTTGCACAGCCAGTCCCAACCATGTATATGATCTGGCAGATTAAAAATTTCATCCAGAAAGACTAGAGATTCTTTCAAAACTGGAATTAGTAGTCGAGTAAGACTGCTACCTGCAGAAGCCAGTGTACTTCAGGTGCGAGGTGGGGTAACCGCTCATCTCTTCACAAAGCTAAGGGGAAAAAGAGTTCCATTAACATGATTTGCCATTTTAAACAGCCTTCTTGATCTTGTCTCTTAAAATCACACTCCACACCTTCCAGAGTACTGACAAGAGCTTCCTTAGGTAAGCAACAGTGCTTAGATTTTGCTTCCAGGGCAGCAGCTTGGATTTCCAAACAAGTCTTCCAGCAGCATGCATGGAAATTCGGCATGAGCATCCCAACAAGCAATCCTTACCCCCTTCCCATCCATCTGCAGAAGAGCTACGGGATGCCCAGGCTACTCTCCATCCTTGAGAAGATTTACAGTGAAGGTTCTGCTCCTGAAGGCTGGAAGTACTCACAGGCATGCTTGAACACCCTGGCTGTAACTCACACATGGCCTGTGTAAAACCCTGGTGCTGCCCACTTTAGTTTAATCCTGAATAATAATACCTGAAATACTGAGTTTACTGGGGAAAGTGTATTTTTTTCTACTACACACTAAAACAATTAGGCATGAAAAATAAAATTATTTTGTTGTAGGCTGTTTTACACTTTATGGAAAACCTACATATTATTACTACCACTCTTCAGAATGAAAATATTTTTGTGTGTGTGTCCGGCAACGGATTGCAACCCTCAGTGTCGCGCCCGGACCGGGACCGGCAACGGGATCGCAACCCTCAGTGTTGCGTCCGCACCTCGCTCAGCCAGTGAGCGGGAACCGGTCTGTATGTGGGATCTGAACCCTCGGCGGGAGCGCCGCCGCACTCCCAAGCGGCACACTGTAGCAGTGCGCCACCGGGCCAGCCCCAGAATGAAAATATTTTTAAAAAATAAAAAATATTCTTCCAAGCTGATCATTTGCCTCTTCTAGAACCCCACCTGTGAAATGGGTGGGTGTGTCCCTGGACAGCTTATCCAATTTTCTGGAGGCTCCTTTGTCTGGACTGTAAAATGGGGATAATTATACATACTTTGCAGAGATTTGGTGAGATTCAAAGTCCTGCATTTGTTAATTCCAGCAACATATGACAGTAGGAACTCATTAATAGCAGCTGTTCTAAAACCTCTCATCGCATACTACATACTGATTCCAAACCTGAGCCACGCAAGAGAGCCCCACTATAATCCGCACTTAAGCCCAGCTAATGTTTGGGCTCTTGCTGCATGCAGTGCCATGCAGGATGCTTTACGTGCATGTTGGGAAAATACAAGAAAATGGTCAGGACCCCTCAGATGTTCAGAATCTTGCCAAGCATTTGATGTAAATATGCACGTGTGCCCATGTGTTCCTTGGCTATTGACTAATGTAATTGCTCATGTGCACCCAGGTATCCTGGGTTATGGACTTAAGTATAAAGGACGAGCAGCTCTGCTCCACGGGGCCCTCCCACCCCTGGGGGGGTCCATGGGGAGGCTGTTACTGCTGCTGGAGGCTGTTGCTGTCAGTGACCCCGGGATGCCCCGAAAGGCCACTGCCACTGCTGCTGCTACTGCTGAGGACTGCCAATGGCTCCCGGGATCTTTCCCAATTACCTAGCGTGGACCTGCCTGTGAGGGGTCTGGTGACCCAGCCTGATGTGTGAGGGCTCTGTAACCCTAGAGTGCATCTTCTCATTTGGCCCTCACAACAGCCCTGTGACATAGGTGCTGTGCCCATTTTCCAGAATGAGGAGACTGAGGCTTGGGGTTAGGGCTATTTGTCACATAGCTCAGAGTGGTTTGAGCTGGCATTTAAACCCCTGCACTCTGACTCTTGGGCTGGCATTCTTTTAGACTGCCTTAGCGCCTGCCTTCCAGCTCCAGGCAAGCCAGGTAGCTGTCACTTCACTTACCAAAGATAGGTGGCTAGTCCTACCTCACACCTTGTACTGAGGCTCTTCATTTCTCCAAAAAGCTTACTTGAGCCTCCACCTTCCTTTTCTAGTGAATTAAATTACATTGGTGTTTGATTTATATAATGGCATAGATAGTATATCATTAAATGTTCCATGTCACTACCTTACCTCCCCGGGATAAGCCTTTTTTGTACCATTTACTGCCCCATAATACCCCACATAAGGCACAATATATTCTTAAATTTAAATAAGCCATACAGGGAAGCAGCTGTCATGCTAAAGAAAACCATTTGATTTAATTGCCAGTTTATAGCAGCAGCTGAGGCCATCTGCGCAAGAACTGCCACGTGCAGCCCCAAACTGCCTGCCAGAGCACAGGTGTGAGCCAAGTGTAATGACGGTGTGTTTCCCATACACTCGAGTACTTGGTTTTACGTACATTTTGCTCTCCCATTTTAAGGATAACTTGTTCCCGCCACAGCCAATCTGCCTCCAATCCTGTTGTATTTTAGTAGCTCGTTCACTTACAGGATAAAAGGAAATAAACATACATGCAGCAGATTACTTCTGCACCTCGTATCCTGTTTAGGCTGACAGTGGGCTCACTCAGGGACGCTGGGAACAGAGGATCCCATGGTATGGCCATTGAGTGTCTTCACTAGAAGTTCTTCCAGTTCTCCAGGTCATGGGTTAGTTTTTGATAACTCCTACCAGTTGAGTCTTACTGCACTTACTGGCATAATGGCCTGTTTTTCGACACTAAAACAGAAAAAGTTAATGGCATGTTTGGTAAATTCAAATCTCAAAAGAAAAGTCCTAAATAGTTAGGGAACCACAGGAAATAGCTGGCTTTCCAAGGTATTTGATGGATTCTGCTCATAAATGAAGGTACATTTCAGGCCTAAAAGAGACCTTGAGGTTCAAGCTCAGCATCATGGTCTTAGAAAACAAGGCCCTGGACTTTCAAAGGCCCTTAAAACCAAATGTACAAGAAGGTCAAGGATTCTACCTCTCTTACCTGTCATCCTGATATAACCATTCTCTCACAAAATGGAGAAATCAGAGCTCAGGACAATAGAACCTATTTCATGATGGGATGATAAATTGTTTCTGATAAACCAGAAGAGAGGGGAAAATAAAAAAGGCACTACATTTCCTCCCTTACCAAACTCTGCCCCCCTCCTCCAAATCTTGAGGACGTTATGTGCAAATAATTAGAGAATTAGTAGGCAGCAAAGTAGGAAAATGAAAGTTGTTTAACTTATTAGCCTTTTAAAGCAACAGACTTGTCTGACAGGAGATGCAAATAAGATTAGGTTGTTGAGACTTCCCATGTTGTAATACTGGGTTTACCAGTATCCCTGCCCCCCACCCCTTACCCCCCTTAACTCACACCCCTAAACCCCAGTGCAGGTTTCTCATCTGTTGCAGAAAAGGAATCATTCTCCAGCTGACAGACCACCACCTCCCCTTCCAGCCCTCCACAGAGCAGAGCACTGGCCCAGCCCTGTCCGTTCCTTCACTCACTCTGTAGCATGTGCCCAGCTCTTGACTCCTGAGCCCCAGGCAGGAGAACACGTGGTCCTGGGGTCTCACCTCCTGGTAGGAAAGCAGGCGCTCTGTCGGGGCAGGGGGCTTACGAGCTTCGGCAGCAGAAGCAGGAGGTGCTGAACCCCATGGCTGGCTGACAGGCTGCAGATAAAGCAGAGTCGTGAGGGGACACCTAGTGCAGATACTCTTTCTGCAGACACTTTTACACTGAGGCCAGGGCCAAATTAGGTTTCCGGATGCTTTTATCGACAGTTTTTTGTTTTTGTGGCTGGCCAGTATAGGGATCCGAACCCTTGACCTTCATGATATAACACCACTCTCTAACCACCTGAGCTAACTGGCCAGCCTGTTTACCGTTTTAATGGCTAACAGCAGACCCTTTGATGACAGTAAGAAATGGGCTTGTGAGTTCCCCACAGTCCTGCAGATTGCTCCCACCTTCCAGCAAAGGCCCCCGCTCAGAACCAGCAGGGGTCGCCTTCTTCCCACACGGCTGCCCTCCCAGCCTTGGTGCTGGGCTTCCCCAGAGAACTTAGCAGGTGGCGCCTCTTTCTGGCCTCTGTCACACTTAAATGGCAATCCCACATTCAGTGATCTAGACCAGGGGCCACCACACTTTCTCAGTAGAAGACCAAATGGTAAATATCTTAGAATCTGCAGGGGCCGGCCTGTGGCTCACTCGGGAGAGTGCAGTGCTGATAACACCAAGTCAAGGGTTAAGATCCCCTTACCGGTCATCTTCCAAAAAAAAAAAAAAAAAAAAACATCCTTAGCTCCCTTTGGCCCACAGGCTGTAGACTGCTGACTCCTGATGTAGGCTTGTATCAGTGCTTGGTATCAATAGGAAGAGCATCCATATCCATGAGGACTGAGCACTTCTGTTCCCAAAAGACCAGGCACATTTCTCACTCAGGGCTGGGCCCCATTTTCTTTAACAAAAACCACTCATGTGTTAGCAGGGCTGATAAACAGGAGTCTTACCTGAAACAGTGATTGCAAAGGTTGGAGGGGGGTCTGGGATATATGTGTTCCACATGTATGATGACATGTGCCATTCACAGGTGAGCGAGGGTCCCTCAGGAGCAGTGCATGCTGGGGAGTGTTCCCTAGGGTGCGTCAGCAGCATGAAGTGAGGGGAGGGGGGCACAAGGGCACCCTGCCTGCACTCACCTGTCTGTGACTCGGGTTGAATAAAAGATCCATCCTGGGACTGAAGGCAGAGAGAGACAATTACAGCCTGGCTCTCACCTCCCATCTCCTGCTTATTGACATGCTGTGTGCCGGCCTGCTGCAGCTTTCATATTTCAGAAGCCCGCAGCAAAGGAACCCTCGCCCTAGCCAGGAAGTGAGGGAGAATTGCAGGGGACAGAGTTGGGGGGTGTGTATTAAGTGCTTCTCTTATTCCTAGAACAGTTTGTGAAGAGATCTTCACCATCCCCAGCATGAGTGCATGTTAACAGGATGGGTTAGGGTTCAGAGTTCAGTGCAGCCACCAGCACACCAAGATCTCCGGGGCCGGGCAGCCATGCAAGGAAAACAATGGGCAGATGCCTGCCAGACATTTAATTTTCCACCGTGGGCCAGGGAAGGTACAGAAGGATCTAGAAGGCCAGGCCCAGCACTCCACTGGGAGTTGGTAATCCAGGGATCATACTTACTGGGCAAATTGGCACTTGGGTCCCTCAGGGCAGAAGCCAACTAAGTAGTTGAGACACATTATTCTGCGGACATGGTGGTATTTACACAAAGGTCCTGCTGGGCAAACAAAACGATCAGAAGCCTCTGCTTTAGCAAGAGGAGAAAACACCCATGAAAAGGCTCACTGGGAAGGGTGTGGCAGTGTGGGCAGTCATAGACTCTCCATTTAATAGGTGTGTATAAATCTTCCCATTCCTTCCATGCTGACATGAAGCACCCACTTCAAGGCACGAGACTGAGATGGGGAAAGGAAACCTCAGAATGTGTTGGGGCAGGTATCCGCTGGCAAGTCCTGAGATAAGCAGGGTCAGAAGCATCACTAACATGCTCTGTGTCTCGAAGGACTTCCATGGATGTGGACCATAATTTGCTGCTTTTTATTTATTTAGCTATAGAAGGCACGGCTGAGAAAAAGCTAACCCCATAATCTTACCGATCCTCCTTCAGGAGCCCTCTCCGCCACAAGCCCCTCCAAACCAGCAGTGCTAAGAACTCAGTGAAAACAACATAGCTGAAGATACAAGAAAAGGACAGACACAGGTGCTTGAGGCACAGGGATCTGACGAGGAACCAGCCTAAGTCTGGCTGGAAGCAATGGGAAAGGCAGATCACGCTTATGCGAAGCCCAGGACCCCCCAGGTGGGTGAAAGCAGTGCAGAAGAGCCAAGTGTCTCCTATGGGCCAGACCCTAAACCAAGGGCTCCCCGTGGTTAAGTAATAACTTGTTCAAGGTCACACAGCCTACATCAGGGGTCAGCAATCTACAACCTGTGGGCCAAAGGAGCTAAGGATGATTTTTAAAAGGTTGGGGAAAAATCAAAAGAGTACTTTGTGGATAGGATATGAACCCAAGTAAGCCTGCCCCGAGAAGCCCACCACGCCCCACACCAGGCCACGTTTCATAGTGTCACAGCAGTTTTCTCCACTGCAGTGCAAGCCTGGGGAGAACTATGGAAAGGCCTTCTGGTGGAATTTCAACCTAGCAGAGTCTCATCAGCAATACGGCCCCTCCCCTGCAGAGAGCCCCCCATCCTGATCACCCACAGGTCCTAGTGCTCCCCGTCTGTCAAGGCCTCACCATTCTTGCAGAAACCTTGGTCATACCAAGGACAGTCCCGGGACTTGAAAGAAAGCTTCACGTGGAGGAAGGGACACTCCTTGTTGTTGCAATCACCTGAAAATTCCAGCATTCTCTGTATGTAAGCAGGCTCGTTTTTATGGTCACTTCTACCTCCCCAAACTGGATTGACCTTGTTCCTCACATACATATAAGCCACTGGCCTTTCTTCGGGTTATCAGCAGCTCTTGAAGACAGCAAGGTATTTCTAATCCTTCCTGCAATCTAACAAGGGTAGAGCCCGATAATATTTGCTGAGGGCATGGGTCTGAGTGTACTCTGCTGGAAGAGTTGGGGTGGGGCCAGATGTCCAGAAGGAAACACTGGAACTGAAAGTGTTTAGAGGCTACCAGGGAGGAAGGACCAAGGAGACCCAAGAAGACCTACAACATACATCTAGTGAAGTGGCCATATGCCGTGACTAAAGCCCTCTCCATCTCTGCTGTGAAACCTACGCTGTTTCTAGGGCCTGGGGGAGCAGTTCCTTTTGGTGGAAATGCCAAGAAGAGCAGAGTATTGCTTCACATTGGCACAGTGATGAAAATAGATGCTACACAGAGGGACACCTGTAATTATACTAAGCCCGTGCTGTCATCTGTCTGGATTAGACCAAGTCTTGCGTTTAGCTTGTCTCCTAAAAGGAGCCAGCCCTGCAGGCACAGGCTATCCAGGAGTCATGTTAAGAGCTCTCTTAGATTTCTCTTTGTTTGGAAGATGAGAAGGAAGCATGAAGGAAGATTCAGCCCACTCTCACCTCACTCGTGTCGAGAATTTGTGAATGTTTCCAATTTCATCCTCCTTAAAAGTCTACAACTCAGTGCTTTTCAGAGCTGAAAGGAAATTCCTGGTGTCTACCTTCCGTTGGTTTTCAAACTGCTCCAAAGAGATCTATGTTGTGTGTCGGGCTTCTGCAAAGCAAGTTTCACCCAAGGAAGAGTAGTACCCCCATTCCTAAGAGTCTAAAACCGTCATTCTTTCCTAGCCCTCTCATTTCTCAAACGGGGACACCAGTACTCAGAGAAAGGAAATGTCACATCTGTTTTCTCTCAGCTTCCTCACATTGACAAAGGGTTTATTTGCTCAGCATACCAAGTGCTGACTCTGGGCTTGAGCCCTCTAAGGATCAGAAGTGACATGGGCCCCAGTGCTGGTCCGCAGTTGACAGATGAAGTTCATGGCAAGTCCTCTCTGCAGTGTTGCTGTTGCCTTTCTGCCCTGGCCTGCAGGCATTCCTCTCCTGGCCAGCAGGTGGCAGCAGCACCTCGGCCTCCAGCCTGCCTTTCGGCAGCCCATACACCTTTCCGATCAGGTGTCCCAGGAGCAGGGCTGAAGACCCTGGACATCCTAGTCCCTTTCAACTGCCCCTTCCCACTCCCACACCTCCCCAGCAATATTTTTAGAAATAAAACAATTTACGTCCAATAATAAGGATAGTTACTTCAATACAATATTAGAAAGAGGTATCCACTCATTGACTAAGAACAAAACTGTAGGTTACATATTGTAATCCTGGGTTTACATGTCTGTCCCCTACTAATCAGAGCTATCTGAGGGCAGAAGGGGACCCGGTGGGCCAGCCCGTGGCTCCCTTGGGAGAGTGCGGTGCTGATAACACCGAGGCCATGGGTTCGGATCCCTATATAGGGATGGCCGGTCAGCTCACTTGGGAGAGCGTGGTGCTGACACCACCAAATCAAGGGTTAAGATCCCCGTACTGGTCATCTTTTTTTTTTTAAAAAAAGAAGGGAACCTGGCCCTATTTCTGTATCCATGCCCAGTACTGTGTCTGATCCCTAAATGAAAACCAAGCAAGGGTTAGTGAGGGGATAAATAAATGGCATCTTAAAATGGAAGAGTTAGGCAATGACCAAGGGGAGCCGAGTGCCAGATAAACTTTGTCCTTTCTTTCAAGGAAGACATGCGGGCAGCCCTCATGAACGGCCACCCCCTCACCTCCAAGGAGTCGGAAACGGGATATTGGTCTGGGAGGAGCTTCAGTTGGCCTAGGGGACATTTGCCTCCTTCCCGCATACCCAGGACCCTCCCATCAGCTCTGAAGAGGAGCAGCTGCCCGCAGGGGGGCCCTGAAGCTGGCCTCCTACATCAGGGGTGTCCCGAGGGATTCTCCCCACTCTTGCAGGTCACTCTTTTTGGAACACAGTTTGAAAACCACTGGACTAGCTAATTCTTAAGGCTGCTTCCAGCTCGGAAAAGCACTGAGCTGCAGAATTTTATTGAGAAGGATGAGACCCAAAGTACATTCACAGGTGCCATTCATCAATGGGGTGGAAACTGACCAAGAGTTCCCCTAAATAGCCCCTGGAGTAACAAAAGGAGGACTTGAGGTCAGAGGGAGGCAACACGCTGGTCCAGCCCCGGCCACAAAAGATAATCTTTGGGGCTGGACTTCTGAACCTCACGGTTCTATGTTTACGGTTACCTTTCATTTCTGACCAGTGATGCTAGTTTTCCATTTATGCAAGCAATGCGAAGTTTTCTTCTAAAATAAGAGTTAAAAATAGCAAGAGAGTTGAAGGAGCAGAGGAGGAACAGCACAGGTCTCTGACGGGCATCCTGACAGCGGCTCTCCAACGCCTGACCTTCGGGAAGCCCCGGCTGGGCTCATCCCAGGACTGAGAGGTGGCGGACTGGAGACTCTGTTCCTAACAGTCGGTCTGAGTGTGCGATTAGCCAGGACTTGGAAGGAAATAACCCCCCCCCCTTTCCCTTTTGGGGGTAACTGATGTGCGCCTGAGCCTGGTGGGGCAGTGAAGGGCAGGGATCACAGGGCGCGGTTCCTCTTCTTTAGGGGTTTGGAGAAGCAGGCGCCTGAGGCACCTTGTTGGCCTTCTGGGACATTCCGGCCCCCTTTGAGTGCACCCTCCCTCGAAAACCTCCTCTCGTCTCACCGCCCACCCTCCGGTGCGAAAGTGGCTCATTACCGAACTTGGAGTAGAAGTAGCACTCAGGCATGCGGGTGACGTCATACTGGTGCAGGAATCTGCAGTGGTCGCCCTTCGTGCACAGGCCCCGGAGCCAGTGCTTACACACCACCATCTTCTCCCCGCGGTCATGCCGGAATGGGCAGAGCTTCCCTGGGGACACCAGAGCTCGCTGGGTTCCCCACTCACCTGCAACCTGAGCCCAGCTCAGCCCCCAAAGGAATTTCCCAGGAGGGTGCTGGGGCTCAGTCCCCAGCTGCCCTCCCTTTATCCCCTCACCCGGACCCTAGAAGGGGTTAGAAGTGGGGGTGGAGGTACCACGAAGGGCAAACTGTTGACAGAACAGCTGTGTCAAAGGAATTTCCCAGGAGGGTGCTGGGGCTCAGTCCCCAGCTGCCCTCCCTTTATCCCCTCACCCGGACCCTGGAAGGGGTTAGAAGTGGGGGTGGAGGTACCACGAAGGGCAAACTGTTGACAGAACAGCTGTGCCCACTGCCACCCCTTAGCCCAGACTCCCCTCTGCCTGTTGTGTCTGGTCCCTTTTCCGAGTGGCAAACCTCGAGAGCAGGTCTGGGTTTTCTAGTCCTGAGTCCCCATACCTATCCCAGCCCCCAGCACATAGTAAGTGCTCATTAAGGGCCTGGTGACTTCGCGTATTTAAAAAAAAACAAAGAAGTCCCTATACCAACCAAGTGCCAAAAAAAAGAAAAAAAGTTATGCTTCCTGATTCCAGAGACCTAACATGGTGACATAAAAGCCAACTTTGTAACAATTTACAAGGGATCTTCCATGGAAATGTTATGTTTAACTATTTTATCATCTTCATTCAAGCCAACATTGCCAGCAGCAGAAAGGACACCCAGTTTCTACGTTTCCAAGCAGGACCAGTCTCGTGTATGGTCAACTCTAATAGAATTTGGGGACATGGAAGGTTTTGCCTTTAAATACCCCTCCCCTCCACTCCTGGCCATTGACTTGCTTCGTTCTGACCTTCCACAGCAAGTTTTATTTCTTTGCAAGGGGGTGTCACTGCTCTAGAGACTGGGTGGGCCATGCTGAGGAGACATCAGCCAGCCCATAATGGAGCTGGAGGCTCCGGGCTGCATGAAACCTTGGGTGGTTATCCAGCTCGTGTCCCCTCTCCTTATCCCCATCATCCCAGGCTGGCCCAAAGACAAACACAGCATGTTGCAAACATGGCTGCATGTCCCCTGCCTGGGCCCTCCAGCCTCCCAGGTTTTGGACTCCAAAAGCAGGTCCTAAACTTATTCACACTAGCAGGATTTCTTAACCTAGACCTGTAGTCAGGCTTCAAGGGGCTGGGAACCCCTAAAATTGGAGGCAGGTTTTGGGTAACTGTGTATGTCTATGGGACAAGCCTCTAAGTTGTACATGAGCCAGAAGAAAACTGAGAACTCCTGTATTTGAGTCAGGCCTCCCCAGAATGGCTGCATTTGGGGAGAGGGGCTTTGGAAGAGGGCAATGCTTGATTCAAAGTTTGGGTGGGAGAGAAGTAAATGCTTTTTGGTAGCATTTCAAAGACTGTGGCCAGAACTACCTTAGGGCATAAGGAATGAATGGGACAACTGACCAGTTTCCACTGGGATTCAGAGGATAAGGCGGGAAGGAAGGATGCCACTCTCCAAGTGGGGAGGATATAGTGAGAGCAAAGAAAGAGGTTTGGAGCCCCCTGGGAATGCAAAGGCCAAAGCCCATAGACATTCCACTCCCAGAAAGGCAGAAAGAAGGGAGCCCCCCTCCAGGCAGCCCTGGTTACCTTAACACAGATGCTGCTGAGTCCGGGAAATCTTAGGGAAGGTGCGGGCTGATTGGTGGACCCACACACTGGTCCTTTGCCTACATATAAGACAAATTCTGCCCCATCCCAATGTCCCCTCCCCAAGGGCAAATTTGACACCCTATCCCAGGCCAGGCAGAGCCCCAGCTGAGCCCGGTATAGCTGAAACAGTCCCTGGCCTCCCTCCCCGGCCAGGCCCACCTACTAACTCACCTTTCTCACAGAGCCCTTTAGTGAAGAAGTTGCACACACCTGATCCCGACTCTGGAAGGGGATGGGGGAAAGGACAAGGTTGCTCACCCAGAGGCTGCGGCTGTCTGGAGGGCTTTCACCCCCATCCCCATCAGCAAGTCCCCCCATATCTCCCCCAAGCTCAGGCTTATGGGCACCCAAGTCCCGACACTTTGGAGGACGCCCTCCAGACCCAGCCTCCAAACCTCAACACTCACACCCCCACCTCTGAAACAGAGGAGATGGAGGGGCTCAAGGCCAGCTTGGAAGCTCGGGGGGCTGGTATGGCTCTTTCTCAGCCTAGAAAATAGGTTCCCCAGAAGCCACAGAAGAGAGCGCCAGAGAGAAAGGGCCTTCCCATCAAGGAGCTGAGCAGAGAGGCTGCAGAGAAGGCTGGGGGAGGGACAGCTGGCACCTGTCCTCACTCACTGTCCATGCCCCGGAAAGGCAGGAACCCAGTGCCCTTCTGCATCTCGACATCCTTCTCAAAGGCGAAGGTGAACCGCTCCAGCCCCGCAATGACCTCTTGCATCTTCCTTCTCCTGCCTGGGCTGGTAAAAGCTGTTAGATAGAGCCCTGCAGGTGGGCCCTATACAGCTCATTTGAGGCCCTTAAGGGGCCAGTGTCTGATGCCCCCCTTTCCTCTCCAGGATGCCAGTCACCAGGTGGCTGCTGGCTACTCTAACCTCAGCTATAGGGCGTGTGGTCCAGCTGCCTCACTCCCCCACCCCCGACTGGATGCAGGTGCAGACGCCCCAGGGCCCAACACCCTTTCCTCTCCAGGATGCCAGTCACCAGGTGGCTGCTGGCTACTCTAACCTCAGCTATAGGGCGTGTGGTACAGCTGCCTCACTCCCCCACCCCCGACTGGATGCAGGTGCAGACGCCCCAGGGCCCAACACCCCCACATTGTGTACATAAGCCCCACTTGGGTGGGGAGGGATTAGCGAAGACCAACACGCTGCTTATCTCTGCACGTTACCAAATACAAACACAGCGAATGTGCAGACATTACCAAACCTGGGCTCATACTTTATACATGAAGACACAGCCACAGGTTTGCAAACAAGGAGTTGCACAAACTAGCCGCAGCAAGGCTGTTCAGATTCTGCCAGAGCCTGGGGGCCAGAGGGTGTGGGGGCAGGATGAGGGGTGAGAGGGAGGAAGTCCCACACCCCCGCTGCCCCCTTCCCCCATCAGGTTCCAGCCACCATCTCCCTCTGGGACCCCTGACACCCCTTTTCTGGCCTGAGTGACAAGCCCCAAATGAACTCTTCATGGGAGAGAGGGAAAAAGGAATGAAGTCCAGAGGAATCGGAAATAGTTGGATGAATAGCGCTTTGTTATCTCGCACACAATCGCAAGCTGGCTGGAGGGCGGAACCAACCCAGGGCCGGCGGCCTCCCAGCCGGGATTCCACTGGGCCACCCCAGAGTCTCCCCACCCCTGAGAAAGTGCTTTGTAAATGAAATCTCTATGCAAATGTTGTTTTATTATTTTTACACCACCCCTGCCTGCAGAGCTGGAGACATCTGAAAAACCTCTCAAAGGGGCATTTTAGGGCTCTAACTAGACCAGGCTTCCCCCTCCCCTTGCTCTGGCCCTGAGCTGGCCTTGACTCTAACTGGAGCTGCTGTTTGCAGAGTCGCATTGGCTTCTGATGCACTTAGAACCAGAACCCAATTGCCCTCCTTCCTGGGCGCCTGGACTCAGCAGGGGGAGGTGGGCAGTGCCCTGCAGGCCCGTGGCTGCGCCAACATGAAGAAGCCTGTTGGCTTTTGTTTCCCATGGCTGTTGCTCCTAGATTTGTTGTTCTTTTGAACTCCAGATCAGAAAAGAAAATAGCTGGAGAGATAGACACCTGGAGCCGAGGCGGGGCTGGGAGGGGCAGGGAAGGGATCCAAGAGTTTCCAGAAGGTTGGGCCTCCCTCCAGTGACATTCTGGGAGAGGTGGAGGGGCTGAGCTCCGGGGCTGTTACAGGGTGGGGATGAGGGGTCCCTGGGGTAGAAGCCCTTGCTTCCCTTGGCCTTATTTGTGTGCATGGATTAGTAGTCCCAAGAATGCATTCACCTTCAACACAGGCTCATTTAAGGCACACACCAGCCTGGCAGGGCAGACCGGACAGATAAGGAAATCAAGGCCCAGAGAAGCCAAAGGCACACAGTTTGGAAGCAGATAAGGATGAAATTCAAATCAAGGTCTCTTGATGATTTCCTTCCATAAACATCCACTGAGCAACTCTGTGCTAGAGACATGTCCCTGCCCTCAGAGACGGCCCAGTCAAGTGGGGGACATAGACACTGAACAGCACAACGATGCAGTACAGTGCCTAGAGACCTAAGCATGGGCAAGAAGGGTGGCAGGAGAGCTCTGGAGGAGAGTCTGGTGACGAGGGGGAAGAATGTTCCAGAAGAGGGCCAGCAGCATGAAGGCCCAGGCCTGAAGCAACATGCAGGTTGAGGGGACAGTCGAGGGTCTGGCTTAGCAGAAGCAGGTAGAGAAGGGGAGTGGAGGGTGACAGGCTGGAGAACTAAGTAGGCACTGAACCTGGAGGGCCTCGTAGGGCATGCTCTGGCGGATGTTTTTTTATCATGGTGGCCGCAGAGCCACTGAAGGACTCTGAGGAGCAGAGAATGGATTGAGGGGGACAGTTGGGGGTGGGGTCACTACTTAGGGGATGATGTAAAAAATAATAATAATTAGCACCCTGGGGCTATAGCCTAAGGTACTTTCTGGACCTCAGTTGCTCTGAAAGAGTTAATTAACGAGGGATGAGCCTGATGGAGACACCCAGCTGAGGCTCCTCCCTGCATCTGCCACCACCCTCTCTCCTTCTCCAGCCAAGGTCCCGCCCTCCACCTGGGCTCCCCATCCCACCGCTGCATGCCTGGCCTGCAGGTGTGCGGTGGATGTCACACAGATGGATGCCCTTCTCCCGATGGCTCCTCATCAGTTTGGCACAAGACTGATGACACCTTGCATTCATGCCTTTTGCTTATTCAAAATACTTTCTGTAATGGATTGAACTGTCTCCCCGCAAAAGTCCTAGTCCTGACCCCTGGTAACCCCTGGTGAGTGTGACCTTATTTGGAAATAGATTCTTTGCAAGTGTAATTAAGTTAAGGATCTTGAGATGAGATCATCCTGGAATTAGAGTGAGTCCTAAACCCAATAACTGGGGTCCTTATAAGAGAAAGGAGAGGGTGATTTGAGACACACAGACACAGAGACACAGAGAAAAAGGCCATGTGAAGACAGAGGCGGAGATTGGAGTTATACAGCTGTTGGCCACCACCAGAAGCTAGGAGAGAAGCATGGAACAGATTCTCCCTTAGGGCCGCCAGAAAGAACCAACCCTGCCTACACCTTGATCTCAAACTTGTGGCCTCCAGAATGTGAAAGAATAAATTTGTTGTTTTAAGCCACCAAGTTTGTGGTAATTTGTTACAGCAGCCCTAGAAAACTAATGCACTTGGAAATTTAGCTTCGGAAGACCTCAAGCCTTTTACAGATGAGCAACTAGAACCCCAGGGTAGGCTGCCCCCCCATCTATGGACGTGCACCCCCACTGTACAAAGAAAGCACCCTTGAGGAGGGGCTGGGGCCAAGAGCCAGGATGTCCCCTCTGGAACCCCACAATTTGCTCTTCTGTGCCCTGCAGCTTATCCCGAGCACTTGTATTTTCATTTATTAATTAATTCATGGGTGCAAAGTGGACACCCAAATCACTATACAAATAGTGGCATTAATTTTTAATCACCATCATTATGAGGCTCTCATTTCACTCCCACTGCAAATGTCCTGAATCATCATCATCCTGCTCCTTTATAAATGCATGGCTCTGAAAAGCAGGGAGCCAGGGGAGCTTTGGAATTCTTTGGCTGCAGGGCCTGGCAAAGGGACACAAAAATTATGTCCCCTGGTCTTGGCTGGGGCACAGTGTGGCCACACCCTCCTGTGTTTGATCTCAAGCATCTGCCTTTCTTCCCTCTCAGGCACCCTGGGTTCGTGGAAAGGGTGCAGACTTTGGCACTGGGCAGGCTGAAGTTCGAATCCCACCTTTGTTAGTCACCAGCCTGTTGTCCAGGGCCAGGCTTTTAATCCCCTCTCTGAGCTCCAGATTTGACATCAATAAAATGAGACTGACAGGCATGACCTCCCTGAAGGGCTGAGGACAGATGAGAATACATGTGGGTGCCTGACACAGAGAGTTGTTTGATGTGTGGTCCTTCCATGAGATGAGGGACTTGTTCGCTGGCGCATACTGCTCTGCCCCAGGTAGGGCCCTGGGAGTGCGTGTGGCTCCACATTTGTTCAGGTGCCACTGGAGGGGCTTCTGTGAGGTCCAGTGGAGATGGGTTTGGCAGCTGAGGAGCCACAGTGTTGGGAGGGGTGGAGGTCTGGAGGAGCCCCTGGTGATCCTGATGCTGCTGCTCAGTCCCAGGGACAATGAGCCAGTGTGTCCTGCTCTCTCTATCGCTCTTTGTGCCCCAAAGATGCCACTTGGAGGGGACAGCTGCTGTCCTGACAATAGGCACTCAAAATGCAGGGTAGGGGGGTCCAGCAGCCAGGAGGGCCCCGCTCTGTACTGACCAGGAGCTTGGTCTCTGGGAGTCAGTCGTTTCCAGGACCTACACCCAGGGAAAGGCATCTATCTCCCCTGGGGCTTAGGAACAGTAACAGGACTAATCACCAGCCCCACACTTCACAGTCGGGGCCTCCTCCAATCCTCACTGCAACCTTCCCAGCTGCTCTGCCCATTTTACAGATAAAGAAACCGAGGCCCACAGGTGAACCGAAGGCCGAAGCTTACACAGCCCACAGATATCAGAATGGGGGCCTAAAATCCCAACGTTTGCTACCAGTTACTAGGACTTAATCCACTGAGGTTCGCTGTGTACACTGTCTTCTCTCTAATTCCCACAAAACCCCGGAAAGAGAGCTATTATTATCTCCCTTCTACAATGGAAAAAAACTGAGGCTCAAAGGCTCAGAGGAACTTTCCAAAGACCATAAGCTCAGGTCTGCCTGACCCCAAAGCCAAGATCCTTCCAGCTGCAGTTTTGGAAAGGCCCCGGCCTCCCCTGGGCTGGTGAAACAACCGAACCCCTTCCCCCACCACTCCAGGCCCAAGACAGTGGTTGAGCCTTTGCTTGTCCCTAAGAGTGGCATGTGGATTATATTTTTGCTCTGAGAGTCAAGGAGACAGGACATTTTGGGCTCAGAGAATCAGCCATGGCCCACAGGGGTGTCCCCAAAGCTATTCGCCTCCAGGGCTGCCTGGTTAGCTCAGCTGGTTAGAATGCAGCCTTATAACACCAAGGTCATGGGTTTGGATCCCCGTGCCAGCCAGCCACAAAAAAAGAAGAAAAAAAAAAAAAATCTCTTGGGCCGGCCCATGGCTCACTCGGGAGTGTGGTGCTGATAACACCAAGGCCACGGGTTCGGATCCCATATAGGGATGGCCAGTTCGCTCACTGGCTGAGCGTGGTGCTGACAACACCAAGTCAAGGGTTAAGATCCCCTTACTGGTCATCTTTTTTTAAAAAAAAAATAAATAAATACAAAATAAAAATTTAAAAAAAAATCCCTCCAAAGCTATTCCCCTCCACTGTTGCTGCCACGTGTCTTAGCTTGGTGTCAGGCCATCCTTCCCCTCTCTTCTGGTTCTCTGCCCAGAGCCTCTCCAGGATGAGCAGAGGCCGCCCAAAGCCTCCTTGGGCTTAGGTGGAAACCTCCACAGGCCCTGATGCCATCGACTGCCCCCACCCGCAGCTCAGAGAAGCAGCAGGACCAGTCGGCAAAACTGGCAGAAGCGGCAGATGGGGCCGCTCAGGTTGTACTCTGGTCCCTTTCTACTGTTCACAGTCCTTCTGGCGTCTCTCATCTGGCGTCTCTCATCTGCCCCACTTCCCCTTTGGAGAGCTATTCATTCATTCATTCACTCACTCAAAAAATAATTCTTAACTTCTGCCAACTCTAAAAGATACAGAATGAACAAGACACAGTTGCTTGCCTAGGAGTGTGTGATTGGCAGGCTAATGGCCCCCCAAAGACGCACACATCCTAGTCTCCAGAACCTGTGAATATGTCTCCTTACATGGCAAAAGGGACTCTGTAGATACAAGTAAGCTGGGATCTTGAGATGGGGAGATTATCCGAATGGGCCCAATATTATCACAAGGATCCTTCTAAGAGGGAGGCAGGAGAGTCAAAGGAAAAGAGAGAGAGACACAGAGAGAGGTGAAGGTGCTGCACGGCTGTCTCTGAAGACGTCGGAAGGGGCCACGAGCTAAGGAATGGAAGTATTTATTCTCTAGAAGCTGGAAAATGGGCTGGCTGGTTGCTCAGTTGGTTGTACAGTGCTGAGAACACCAAGGTCCAGGGTTTGGATCCCTGTACCAGCCAGCCACCAAAAAACCCCCAAACAAACAAAAACCCCACAGCTTTATATATATGTATACGATTCTTATATACATATTCAGATTCTCCCCTATAACTTGTAGAAGGAACACAGAATTGCCAACACTTTGATTGTAGTTCAATGACAGCCATTTGGGCCTTTGGACCTCCAGAATTATAAGATAATACATTTGTGTCGTCTTAAGCTGCTACATTTGTGGTGATTTGTTACAGCAGCAATAAGGAAACTAATGAGGGGAGAATGTAAGCAATAAGCAGTCAGTTAAGTCCTGCAAGGTGGGAAACAGAAGTCACCGCAGAGCTATTACTAGACCGCTTAGCTCTCAATGGGCATTAAGGGAAGGCTTTTGGGAGGAGGTGAAGCAAAGCTGTAGACAGGTGGAGCGGAGTCAAGGTGGTAGGACGAGCACATTGGGAAACCACTTCTGGTTCTGTAGGGCCGGATTTTGCAAGCCAGCTATTGAGAGAGGCTCGAGGTGCTGAGAGGCCCGGGCCTGGGAAGGGCCTCAACCTGAGGCCTGGGGAGTCACTGAAGGAGCTTGCCTTGCAGTGATGGGTCAGATTTGCATTTTAAAAACAGCTCTCTGGCTGCAAAGTCCTGGGGCCACTCTCCAAAGAAGGACCCAAAGAAGGGCATCCCACAGCCCACGTGCAGAATCCAGGAGTTGTTGAAAAGCAGCCCCAGGAGAGTTCTTCCCCCACCCCTAATGTATTCTGTAGTTTCTAAAAATTCTGTAGCTGATAACACCAAGGTCCAGGGTTCAATCCTTGTACTGGCCAGATAAAAAAAAAAATAGAAAAATGTAGAAGGTCAAGATAAACCCTAATTATTAACAAAGTTCTAATAT